GCTTTTGTTCTACTCAGCTGCTTTTAAACTACATGTGAATAATAAAGGAACTTTCCTAGGGGGTTGTGTAAATGAAGCACAAGGAAGCTAGCTAGCATGGAGAGTGTTTCCCAAAATCTGCAATTTGATTTTTTTGAATTGGCAATCTGAACTTTTTGTCAGCTCAATACAGCAGGCCAGCCATTGTTTTTCTGCTGGGCATAGCAGCCACTGCTTTCACTCTAAAGCAGGACTTCACTAGATTGTCCACTTTATTTTTGCATGCATTTAATCATTTCCATGTTATAACGTGTTTTTAAATCATCTCTGTATTAAAAAAAATTAGAAAAATAATACTGTTTCCTTAAGTTTCAGTGGTCTCCCTCACCCACTGCTCCAGTAATTCCTTCTTTTCCATTTTTCTTTCCAAATGAAGCTTCTTAAATACATATGTGTGTGTGTTTGTGTGTGTGTGTGTATATATGTTTTACATAAGTATAAAACATTTATAAAGAGCTGCAGTAAAATAAGCAGATAAGCATTGAGTTACAGTCCCACCTGTACCCAAATCTGTTTGTCAGAAAAGAAGCGTGTTAGTGAGTGTCACCTTTTAAAAAAATTAAAAAAAAAAAAAGTACATTCATCAGGGTATTCCTGTGGGAGAATCATGTACACGTCAGCTTTGAGGATATAAACACTGTATGTTGCATCACTTCTTGTAGCTTGAACAAGTAGAAGGATCTGAATGGTTGACTTTTTCAACAGAAAGACAGAAGTCTGACTAGGCTTTGGGGTGAGGTAGGGGGTAGTGGTTGTGGAACACACCTGAATGTTGTTTTCCGGCCACAGTGAATTATACTTCCCCCTCACTTATCAGAGTGGTTAGGTTCCAAAGACCATGTCATGCAAAATTTCTTTTATGCAGGGAGGAGGCTGCAGTCCCCAGCATAGACCCTTAGACCTGCTCTGCCCCTGGCACCATCCCAAGGGCATGCCATCAAGGCTGGCACAGTGGACCTCTTGGTTTTTATGTGTCATTGACTTGGAATCTGAATTGACTCTTGGTGAGCCTTCAGTAGGTTTTCAGGAACCATAAACTGCACAGGAGGAGGTTACTCATCTTTCACAAGTGGAACAACTGATAGATTCAAAGTGCCTTTCGTTAGGCAGTGCAGCTCTTTACCCCTGAGCCATGCACAATTTGCCATAGCTGATTGCTCTGGGTCTCAGGTAGCCAGTAGAACCAGAGGTCAGGACGGTCAATGGGAGTTACTACCTATGCCCATGTCCATTTTCCCCTGGAGCCATCTCCTCCACAGTCCTTGCCACTTAATGCCATTCCGGAGGCTGGAAAGACCCAGTGGAAATGAGTGACGTACGGCTGATCTTGGAGAACCTGGAATCCGAGGCTGAGAACCTAGAAACTAGCAGCTTCTTGGAAGTTGAAGCTCACGGCACAGGCCGTGGAGAGGGAAGGGGCTGCCAGCTTCTGCTGTGACCCTGAGGCGCTCACTGCCCCAGAACCTTTCCCGATGCAGGACCTGGTTCCTCGAGGACACTTCAGTAGAGAGGAGAAGCAGCAACCACTTTCTCCCCCACCTCCTGGGCCACTCAGAACCACTCCTGGGCTCCTTCAAAACCACCTCAGTCACTCCTTGTACATGAAGAGTTTCAGCAAAGCCTCCAGGTTGGGGATGGGATGGGGTGGGTAAGAGGGACATGGAGAGCTGGCTGTTTCAGCTGAGGGACTAAGCAGCATGAGTGACTTCAAGTCAGATGCTGGGCATGGGAGCATAGCAAGACAACAGATTTAGTAGGAGAGTGAGTTTTTAATTATAGTTACAAATGTGAAGTATTAGATAATAAGATAGTTGCTAAGTGAGGAGTTGCTATAATCCTGCTATGCCTAGTAAGTTATAAGAGAGACGTCTTAGTAATGCCAAGGCCCCCCGTCTCTGCCACCCCCATGACTCGCTCTGTGCTTCCCTGCAAGGTACTCTCTTGATCATTTTGGGGGCTATGCACATTGACTTCATGTCCTTCATGCAGATTTGCTGCCTCCTTGTGGTTTTTATCTGTTAAAATGAAAATTTTAAAAATCAGGGATTGTGAGTAGAAATAAAAATTGAGAAAGATTGTTCTTCTCACATTCCTTTACTGGTTCTTTCCTTCCCACCCTCCAATTTCTTGGTGTTGGGGTCTCTCCCCAAAGGCATTCTTCTGTGTTCATTCCCTTGGTGACTTCATCCAGATATATTGCTTTTCATACCATCTATATGCTGTTGATTCCCAAATTCAGATCTACATTCTCAATTTTCTATCATCCTCCAGGTTTGTATATCTATCCACAACACATCTCCATGGTTGTCTGGTAGATACTTCAGCACTCAGCCTGTCCAAAACAGAATCTTAATCAGCTGTCTCTTGCACCTGCTCTATCCAGAGCCTTTCCACATGGATGGTTGGCAAGTCTACTTTCTAGTTCCTTAGACCAGTAACTGACTTCTCTCTCACACGCCCTGCGTGCAGCTTCAGGAAGTACCACCGCCTTGTTCTTTGAATGGGATCTTCACAGCTCCACCCCTACCACCCTGATTTGAACCACCATCATCTCTCCCTTGGACTGCTGGGCTCCCTGTTTCTCCTCTTGCTGCCCTATGCATAAGTTAAATCATCACAGTTCCCTGCTCAATACCCTACACAGGTTCCTCTCGGTCAGTTAAGTCAAAGCCCTCACAAAGCTTGCAGGATCTACATGTTACATGGCCTGCTCTCCCCTGACCCTCACTCTCTTACCTTCTTACCTCTCTGCCTTGATTTCCGGCCTCACTCAGCTATGCTGGCCTCCTGGGGCCCTCATGCATTCCCAGGTCGGACTTTGCCTCAGGGCTTTGTAGTGGCCAGCCCCTTTTGTTGAGGTGCATTTCTGCACACATCAGCTGAGTCAGCTCTCCCTATGCCTCCAAAACGATTCAAGCAGCACCTTCTCAGTAAGGCCCATTCTGTAGCGTTTCCCACTTTCGACTTGCTCTCTAATTTGCTAATTAGTTTATCTGCTGGAGTGCAACTCACAGGAACCATGATACATTCACTGATACATTCCACACACCTACAAAGGTCAGGCCCAATCAGTATTGAGTCGGTAAAGTCCAGGCTGTCAGGGACGAAGGCCCCTCAGTGTCAGCTGGAGCAGAGAGCAGGATGGGAACCAAAGGGCTTCCCTCCATGTGCTGGCCCAGTAGAGGCCCTGTCCCTTCTGTCAAGGTGCCTCTGCGAAGCATACAGTCTTGTGTATCTTAGGGAAGCAGTGGATGCATGCTCCTTGAGGTTTCTGCTTGTGCCAGTCTTCCTAGGACTTTAAGGTCCAGCCAGCCTGGGCGGGAATGTCTTGGTGTCTGTGCTGTCATCCAGGAAGCCAGCTCTGTCCCACAGATGGCAAGTTGTGGAGCCTCACCTGTGTGAATGCTCTGGACAAATACTGTGAGGCCAGCCCATTTTCAAGCTAATGTTTGAAATGCCAATTTTAAGCTTATTAAGTGATTGATTATCTAAAAGGTTTATCTCTTAGGCTTATTCTTCCTTTTAACTTGAAGTCAGCTCTTCTCTTTAGTCTATCCCAGTAGTTTTCAAACCATTGTTTACAGAGAGATCATTGAAATCATTTGCTATTTTAAAACTCCTAGGGTAAAAATAGGAGTTTATTCTCTACTACTTTTAAGAAAGGTATTGCCTTGAGTTTGATTACTTAAGTTGTTTTCTTTCTAAAATCTTATTTTTTTTTTAAAAAAAAAAAAGCACAGTAAACCCTGCCACAGTTGGAACCTGTACAGGCAGAGTTCTGACGAGGGAAACTCAGATAGTTTCCATTAATAAAGATGATAGAAAAAAGGCAGGTTGCATTCTGTTAAAGGTTAAAAACTTAACAAGACCCAGAAAAATAAGCCAATTCCTTCATTTTTTTTCTCTCACAGGTTTCACTGTAATTTTATGTGTATATAGATTAATTATAATATGTAAATTTATTTATTCTACAAGAAAATTTAATTTTTACTCTGATAACTTTTCTCGGGTTATTTTATTTTTACTTTATTCTCTGCAAGTTGGATTATGTATAGCATGCTATTATTTCTTTATAATTTTTTTAGTATTCTTTTTTTTTTTATTATTTGGGATAAGCAGTAATGGATTGTTCTGATAAAGGCCCAGGAGAGGTGAGGACTCTGAGTATCTCGTAGGGACAGTACAGTCCAGCAATCATGTCAGGAAGCCCAGTCACCAAAGATTCATTACACTCCCTCTTGTGAATCATGCCATGAAAAGAGCTTGAGTTAACATGCAGCTCTTGGTCTGGAGCAAGGAAGAATGAAGAAAAGCAGACATACCGAAACAATTACTCCAAAGGACTAACGGACCCCGGGAACTCCAGCCTCAGTTGACCCTGAGTCCAGAAAACCAGATGGTGCCCAGCTGCCCCAGCTGACCACTCAGAAAGGGATCACAGTAGAAAGACTTGGATTGAGGAGGAGAGAAAAAGGGATTCAAGGAAAGACCAGGCGTACTGGTCTGATGGAGTAGTGGAAGCCTGTAACTGTGGCCCTTAGACACCCTACAAGCATAGAACTGAACTCAACTTTCAGTCAGATGAAAAACAAAACTATAAGGTGACCATTAACCCCAGGGAGGCCCTCACCCCTCAGAGCAGTTACCCATACGAGAACAAGGGCAGCCTTTGCCCGCAGGTCAGGCTGTGAAGGCGGGAAGAGTAGGAAAGCAGAACGAATGGAAATCGTACACACAAGGATGAAATGGGAAGAGTGTTGTTACTTTGTAGGGACTGTAGTAGTTAGTATAACATATAATCATTGACCAGAAAGCCAATTTGCTCTGCAAATTTGTACATAAATCACAGAAAGTTAAAGAACAAAAGGAGCATGAGATAGGTGCCTGACCAGAGATGTGGAAGTGAGCAAAGCTGCTCCGAGGCTGCGATGGTAATAACACGATGCTTTCCTTTCTCATAGTTGTTTCCTCTCTCTGCTCCTGGTGGCGGCTGTGGTTTGGAAGATCAAACAAAGTTGTTGGGCCTCCAGGAGGAGAGAGGTAAGCCTTGTGGATGAAGGGTAAAGAATCCCCATAAGAGCTTTCTTCTTTTCTTTTTGTCCTGAGCAAACCCATTTTAGCTGGCTTGAAATAACTGGTTGGTAGATTTCTTTATAGTAAGAATAAGGCTACCCTTTCTGCATTGTGTAATCTGGCTTTGATTAGGCTAAAAATCTACTTAATTCCACAGAGTTTAACTTTCTAAAAGGAATTCCTAATATTGATTTACTAATGTATACCCTTCCTACCAAAATCCCTAATCTTTAAATTCAAACTTGGAGCTCTGGGGACTTATTAATAGGGCACGGTCTACACTTGTTTCACCACGGCCTTCCTAAAAGCTTTTTATGAGCGTATGACTGAAATCAGCCATTTAGACATCTCAGAAATTCCTTATTATTCCAAGAAACCTCTGTGTTTGTCCGATTAAGTTTTTAATTCCGCCCCCCCAATTCCATTCCAAAAGTAGCATTAGTAAACAAATCTTTATCATTGACGAATTTAGTTAAAAGTGACAAAAAACTTGGTCATATTGTGACTTCAGCTTGTGCCACTTTGCCTCTTTTTAAACTTTTTTGCCTTTTGCATTGTTGCTAAGGGAATACTGCTTGGTTTCCTGTATAACCTCCATGCCACAGTAAAAAGATTTACAGACAAATTGGGAAGAGAATGAGAGTATCAAAAACCGCATCTGTAGGGCACTCACTGCTACTCTTAGAACACTAGTGTCTGTAACAGGGTAAAGTCTCTAACAGACCATGGGTTACCTGCTGTGCGCTGTGATGTCACTTTTTCTGAACCACTCAAGAGTGATGTGATCGTGGATAAAATGTATCCTCTTTATTATCTGTATTTTTTAAATTCAGGGGGTAACAACATATTCAGATTGTGGGAGGGGGCTGGTTTATTCTGGTAAGTATATATCTGTCTGTATGTATGTATGCATATGAAGCCATTTCAACCTTTTTCATATGTGGCCTTCACTGGGATGAATCACATTGATCAGATTTGAAATCTACACTATCAAAAAGGTGTTTGATTTTTAAAATAGCCCTGTTACTAGTACATTTCAAAATCTAATGAATTATACATTATTCTAAAAAAAAAAGCCATATAAACTTAATAAGAAAATAAAAGCTACAGTAAACCAGTAACCAGAAAAGCAATTGAAACTTTTTAAAGTGTTATTCTTTCCAAGAAAGCATTAGACCCAAGCAGTTTCATGATTGAAGTAAGCTTGTGAAGATAAAGGTCTGTTTCTCCTGTGTGCTGTGATAATTTACTATTTCTTGCTGTCTTATAGCAAGAAAAGAAAATAAAACTTAAGGTTTTCCTAATGCACTTATATACAGAAATACTACAAAAACGAGAAAAGTGACTCCAGAAACTAAAGACCATACAGTAAAAGTCACCTCCACTGTCACAGCTTCCGGGCCACGCATTGTCCCCACATCAGGTTTCCAGAGCTGTAAATCTTTATGTAGAATCCAAGAGGGGGCTGTCCATCTCCGTCCTGTAGAGCGGCTGCAGGGCTCAAACCACCCACCTTTCAGTTAGCAGCCAAATGCATCGTGCACCACACCAGCATGGCTCCTTATTAAAGAAAATTCTGAAGATGAGGCCGAGAATGGTTGTAAAACCTAAAGGATATAGTCATTGAAGCAAATATCACATATAGAAACTTGGGTTATGTGCTTTGTTCTGTATCTTAAAAATAACAACAAGTTAAATAAAGGTTAGTTGCATAATAGATAGGTGCACAAGAATTTTATTCATCTTTGTAATAAAGGGACCGTTTGAAAACCAAATAGAATACAATATATCAGTGAGTAAAAAAGTAAAACTTAAATTCTGGAGGCCAAGTAATCATTTAGTCATTTACTGAAATTCTATACACATTCTTTTATTAAAAAACAAAACTCCATTTCTGGGTCATTGGCCCAGGTCTGTGGGTGCTGAGGTGGTGGTCCGCACGTAGGCTTCTGCTGTTGGGCTCCTGTCTGCTCTGTGGAGGATAGCGCCTTCCTAGCAGCGGAGGAGAGAGCCTTCCCAGCAGCGGAGGATAGCGGTGCGGAGGATAGCGCCTTCCCAGCAGGACATCAGTGCAGGCCGGAATAAGAAATGCAGTTCCTTCCATCTGAGCCATGGCTTATCGATTATTCAGAACTACCATCTTGAGAAAGTCTTCAAGAGAGCCTAGATGAGCTCATACAGTCTCAACAGATGACCCCCTAACTTGCTCTTCACATTCCCCTTCACTTTGATAAGGCTATAAATTCAGCATTGGCTCAGAGAGAAGAACAGAGTCCATTTCAGGGGATCTTTAAATACATACAGATTCTACGATAATGTGTGGACTTGTTTTGAATGATGTTGAATTCAGAATGGTGACAGATTTTATTAAAGTGGTTAAAGTGAAAATTGTAGCCTGTGATGATAAAAACTCAAGAACTACAGAATGAATGGAGGGAAATAAATGGCTTTTTATGCCATCCTCTGTTCTTACTCATGGCATTTTGAAGAGTAACTTAGAAGAGACTTTTTAAATTTATTCTAGACATGCAAAAATGACTCCATTGTTATGCTGAATTCCAGTAGAAAGCTCGTACCTCTGTAGTCACTTCCATTCTTTTATTATACAGCATAAAGAAACCCAGTTTTTTTAAATAACATATCAAAAAGTGTTACCTTCCTATAAATATTCTTTAATAAACTAATTTTAAAGCATAAGAAAACACTCCTAGTAAATTTTAAAAAGAATAGCTCTTTAACCCTGTAATTGCTAGGGAACTCTAGTGGCCTAGTCGCAAGAAGCTGTGTTGCAATTCCAGAGATATGCAGTTCGAATCCACCAGATGCTTTGCTGGAAAAGGAGGGGCAGTCTCCTCCTGTTCCAGTCAGATCTGATTTATTGGTACACACACAGAAAAAAACTTCAAACACTGTAGTTGTTGTTATTACATGCGGTTGAGTCACTGGCAACTCTTAGTGACCTTGTATACAACAACTCTGAGCCCTGCTCTCTCTTGTGCCAACCTTATTGTCTCTGCGACACCTATCCCATTCCCCCAATCACTGAATCAATCCATCTGATTGAGGGTCTTCCTCTCCTGTGCTGTTCCTCTACCCTCCCAAACATGATGTCCTTCTCCAAGGACTGGTCACTCCTTGCAGCGTGCCCAGAGTATGTCAGATGAAACTTCAGAATCCTTGCCTCCAAGGAACAGCCTGGTTTCAACCTCTGTAGGGTGAACCTGTTTGTTCTCCTAGAGAATATATAAAAAAACAACATCATTATTGATAAATAACAGAAATTGGACCAATGAAATCCAAACTGATTATCCATAATCAGAACTGATATTTGAGTATTTCTAAGTTTCAGATACTGTTCTGTGTAGTTTTAAATATATTAGCTCATTTAATCCTTGTAAGAACCCTATAAAATCACAAAAAGCCAAGTAAATAGGTACTGTTCACTAGCACTGCTTTTTAATGAGAGAACTCAAGTGTAAAGAGAAGCCCATTGTCTGTCATCACACAATTAACAAGGCAGAGAGCTAAGTTTTAATAACAGGGCTCTGTCTTCTGAGTCCATGCTCCTGAGTTCTATGCTATTCCAAATGCTGAGTTTGCAATAAGACAACTGCAGTTCAAGTCCTAGTGCCTTTTGAGGCATGCAGGAGTTGATGTGAAGAAAAGCACATAGCCAGAATTTAAAAAGTGTTAATTGCTATTGTTGTTGTAAAATTCATGCCCTACCCACAGTCACTTCACTTTGTTCTAGATATTCCAGGGTTTGTGCTGGGGGGGAGGGGGAGAAATTTTTAAATTGTTTGAAAAGAAAATTTTAATATTTTTAGATCAAGTTTCTGAGACAATAGGTATTTGCCTACACAAAAGTTAATACTTAAATATACACAAAATAATAACACAGAAACCATCCAACCAATGAGAAAATATTTGCCATGGATATGATAGAAAATAAAGATTAAAACACACACAAAAAAATTTTTTAAAGTATACCATTCAGTTGGTCAACCAGTAAACTAAGATTTCACTCTTATCATTTGAAATTTCTCCATATCCATGAAACAGATCTTACAGAATATATTTCATCATTTCTAAAATCTAAGGAGCTCTAGTAGCTTAATGGGTAGGGAGTTGCACTGCCAACCCCAAGGCACTCAGTTTGAATCCCCCTTCTGCTCCATGAGACTACTCCTATGTAATTTATAGCCTCCAAAAGTCCACTGAAGGGTAAGCTGTGAATCACAGTTTTTGGCATTTAATAAACAGGTCTGTCCTGGAGAGGATGAAACCAGATTGCTCCTTTGAGGCAAAGATTTAGAAACTCCCTCTCACTTACTTTGCGCATGCTATCAGGAGGCGTCCTTTAGGAGGGACGTCATACTTGGAAGGATAAAAGGTCAGCACAACAAGAAGCTTCGCTGCAAACCTGAACGTGCGCAGTTCAAATCCACCAGATGCTCTGCTGGAGAAGAAGGGGCAATCTCCTCCTGTGCTAATCTGATCCGACTTGACAGTACACAACAAGGAAGGGGGTGGGACCTGAGAAGGGGCAAGGTCAGCACAAGAGAGGAAGACCCTGAATAAGATAGATTGATAGAGTTACTGCAGTTACTGTGGCAGTGGGGTCTGGCGTGTCAGAGACTGTGAGGTTCGCTCAGGATACGGCAGGGTTCAAAATCATTGTTCATAGGTTCATTGTGAGTTGTAGTTGACTCAATGGCATATAACACCACCACAATAAAGAAGTCCTAGTAGTGGTCAAGCACTTGGCTGTGGTCAGCAGTTCAAACCTGTCAGCACTCCACAGGGGGTATGTGGTAGTCTGCTTCTATGAAGACAATAAAGACTCCAGCCTTGGGAACCTCATAGAGTACTTCTGTGTCTTCAAGAATCACCGTGGATCAGGATCAACCTGATGGCAGTGGGTTGTTTTGGGTTTTTATATGTAGTCCATGTTTAGTGTTTTCCAGCTACCTCAAAGTTATCTTTCTGGGCTTGATTTGTTAGAATAAAGAGTACTCAATTTCAGAGGAGCACAGTTCGAATCCACCAGATGCTCTGCTGGAAAAGGAGGGACAGTCTCCTCCTGTACCCGTCAGATCCGATTTGACGGTACACACACAAAAAATAGTAAAATAAATTAAAAAAAAATAATAATAAAGAGTACTTTTACTGTATTGAATTCTGTGGTAAATTCTTACCCCTTCTTGCATTAATGCTTGCTGTATTGCTTATACATTAGCAACTTCTTCGAGAGATGCAACAGATGGCCAGTCGTCCCTTTGCCTCTGTAAATGTTGCCTTGGAAACTGATGAAGAGCCCCCTGATCTTATTGGAGGGAGTATAAAGGTGAGAATATTATTCCCAAACTCCTCTAACTTGACTTGCTGAAATTCATGCTTCTAAGCCTGGAAACCAGAGAGCTCAGGAGCTTTCTTCTGTTATCTTCCTTTTTCTTTTAAACGTTAAGCAAAAGCACTGGTTAGGTAGTCATTTGCTTTTGTTTTCCAGGCTTTTGTTTATGTCATTCTGTGTTCAGGGAATTTTGAAAGAATAAATGTTCTTGTTAGTATTATATGTTACTATACTTTATAAAACTTGTACTTGAAACTAGCTAGGGCAAACTGTAGTTCTTTATATTTTTTACTTTTTGCTTAAAGGAACAAAATAATTTCTTTTCCAGAAAATAAATAGGCCTAACAACCCCCCCAAAAATTGATGTGACTGACAAGACTTTGTTAGAGAAATGATAACATAGGTTTCTGGGAACCTGCCCATAAAAACATCCATATCTTAAGCAAAATGTACGTGTTAAACCATGAATACCTCCCAAAAAGTAAATGATGTCTCCAAGAATCTCCCTTTCTTCATTTCCTCCAAAAAGCAACAAACTATAAGCCAAGACTCATATCTATGTGTGTAAAGTGGTTCCATACTGGCATCACTCCATGACTCCTAGTCAAAGCAAATGCACATACTCTTTGTAGGAAATTGTCCCCATTTCAGCCTTCAGGTCAAAGTCAAGCAGTCATTGATAATCAACAAAAAGAGGCAACACAGCATGAGTCAAAAGTCAGCAGAAACAATAGATAATTAATTTAGACAGTGTTCCAGATGTGAGACTTAACAGCCAAAAAAATAGTTTACCTCGTTCCATACACAAAAACTAACTCAGATGAGTCAAAGACCTGTTAAATTATAAAGTTCCTGGAAGACAGCATAAGTACAAAGCTAAGAGTCCTAATTTGAGGTGTAAATTCACAATCAAACATAACTAAAAAGGTACAAACAGAAGATAAACTAGATGATGCAGAGCTCCTGAAAATTAAATACCTCTGTTTATCAAATACTTTACCTAAAGAGTAAAAATCAAGCAAGAGTCTAGTTTCCAAAATATATTGGAAACTTCAACACCTCAACGTCAAAAGGAAAACCTAGTAAAAAATGAAGCAGAAGGCATGAACAGACCTATCTCCCAGAAGACATTGTAGGCAGCTACAAACATGTGAAGAGATACTCAGATCGTTAGTCACTTGAGAGTGGCAGATCAGAACTACAATAAAATACCATCTTACACCAGCAGTAATCACACTGATCAAAAAATACGGAGAACATGCTGCTGGTGGCATCAGAGAGTGGTGCAACCACTGTGATAAACAATATTACGCATTCTCAAAAGGCTAGAAATAGAAATAGCAAATGATCCAGCAATCTCACCAGGTATATATCCGAGAGGGATAAAAGAAGTCCTAAGATATGAGTTGGATTTGTAGGGGTTTGTTAAAGGCACACCTAACTTACTGCATAGCAGCCTAATACCAGAGGACACAATGGTCACTTCTTAAACCCTTTTCCAGGCACCACCTAACTTTTCTCACTTGATCTTTGTTCTTTGTTTCATCCTTTTTAGCGCCCCAGTACCTGCCAGAGCTGGGCCACAAGTTCAGTCCCTGGGTTTCTTCTGTTGTCTGTTATACACATCCCCTAGGTAATCTCCCTAGGATTTCAACATTGTTACCCTCTCCACTCAGACTTCCTTCACCCGCCTCTGACTTACACACTCAGTTGCTTACTCAGAGTCCCAACTGGGGTGTACTGACAGGCATCTCAAACTTAAATGTCCAAAACCAGTTTCTGAATTCTGTTCCTCAGAACCTACCCCCTCCAGCTTGCATGTTTTCCTTACTTAATAAATGCCCCCTCCATCATGATTAAGTAGAAGATCATAGAATTGTCCTTTCCTTATTTTTGCTTCTCTTAGCTGCTTATATTCAACATCCAGTCCATCAGTACATCTTTTTAGCTTTGTCTTCAGAAATATTTACTAGTAACTCCTACCACTCCCACTGCCGTTAACACCTCATTCTAGGCCACTGTCATCTTCGCTTCAGTTATTACTGCAGTCTTGTGCTTGACTTCCTTAATCCTGCCATTTCACTCAATTAGTCAGTTCCCTGTGTCTTAGCTTCAGTGGTTTTAGTAATGATTTTCTTTACCACAATTCAAGGAATTGATCATTGACATGGTAGACTATGGAAAGCAGAATTTTAAAATTGGCCTCCCTATTCCTGTTCATGGATATTCAGTCAAACAGTGTTTCTATAAAGGAAATTTGCAGTTACAATGAAAGTCAAGATAATAGTTACCAAGATGGGAAAAGGAAAAGGGGAGTAAATGTTAATTAACAGGTAAATTGAATGAGTTCAAAGGCAATACAAAATAAAGGGTTGAGTAAACATTATAATTAGTTACATTACGTTGTTGTTGTTAGGTGCCATTAAGTTGCCTGCGACTCATAGCAACCCTGTGTACATTAGCTCTGAACCCGGCCCTATACTGAGCCAATCTCATCGTCTCCAACAGACCCAATTCCATTTCTCCATTCACTGAGTCAATCTGTCTCATTCTGGGTCTTCCTCTCCTGCATTGTCCCTCCACCCTTCCAATTATGATGTCCCTCTCCAAGGACTGGTCTTTCCTGGCCATGTGCCCAAAATATGTGAGATGGAGCTTCAGAATCCTTGCCTCTAGGGAGCAGCCGGATTTCACCCTCTCCAGGACAGATCTATTTGTTCTGGCAGTCCACAGTATGTTCAACATTCTTCACCACAACTCAAAGGCATCTATCCCTCTTCTATCATCCTTGGTTATTATCTAGCTCTCAGATGTATAGCAAGTAATTGTGGAGACCATGGCCTGGATCAGGCACACCTTAGTCTTCAGACTTACATCATTGCTCTTGGGTTCACTAGAGAGGTCCCTGACAATAGACTTTCCTGGTGCAATTCATCTTTTGATTTCCTGATTGCTGGTGCCAAGAGTGTTGATTATGGAACCAAGCAAACTGAAGTTATCAACAATCCCAGTCTCTTCTCCATCTATCATGAAACTGACAGTTGACCCATTGGTGAGAATCTTTTGTCTTCTTGATGTTGAGCTTCAGTCCATATAGAAGACTATAATACTTGACCTTCTCCGGCAAATACCTCATGTCCTCTTCCATTTCAGTAAGCAAGGTTGCATCATCTGAACATCTATCTGTGTTTCTTTGACCATGCAAAGGCATTGACTGTGTGGATATCAACAAATTGTGGCTATCCTTGAGAAAAATGGGGAGCCCAGAACACTTAATTGTGCTCATGTGAAACCTATACTTGGGCCAGGAAGCAGTAATCAGAACAGAGCAGGGAGACACTGCATGGTTCAGGATCAGGAAAGGTTTGCATCAGGGATGCATCCTATCTTCATACCTTTTCAATCTATATGCAGAACAGATCATTTGGGAGGCTGGACTTACGAGGAAGAATGTCGCATCAGGATTGGAGGAAGACTCATCAACAACCTGCATAATGCAGATGACACAACAATTACATTAATCAATTATACTTTTGTTATAAAATAAAATATGTATAAATTAAAAGCCAACATAGTTTATAAACTTAAAGTTTTAAATAAAGGGCTAGGGGGAGGAGTCCCAAGATAGGTTTACTATTAGTCCTTGAGGCCCGGGATAAATTTTCTCCAGCTTGTGGCGGAAGAGGAAACCAGAGAGATTTAAGCATGAGAAGGATTGGAAGTCCTGTTGCCGGTTTGAAGATGGAGGTGGCACATGAGAGGGAATGTGGATGGCTTCTAGGAGATGGGGGGACCTTGGCTGACAGAAAGCAAGGAAGTTGGAGTCCCAAACCTACAATTTCAAGAAACTGGGTTTTGTCAAGTACTTGAATGAGTTTGGAAGCTAACTCTTCCTCCTGAGAGAAGAGCCCAGCCTGGCTGACAGCTTGACTTCGGTCTCACATTCTTGAGTAGAAAATCCCAGAAACCTGTTGGACTTTTGACCAACATAAATGTGAGATAATAAATGGGGGTATTTGAAGCACCTAAATTTGTGGTAATTTGTTACACCATACTAGAAACCAATATCGATGACATCTTTAAAAACTACATCTAAAAGCAAGACATGCTTTTCAAATACTTCCAGAAAGTAGATGAGGAATCCACTTTGTAGACATCTAGTTTTTACAAATGGTGGGAAGCGGGGGAGGGGTGGGCAGGGAGAAAAGTGTAACAGTGAATGAATAGAAATCCATATCTTTGTAAATTTTCATTAAAGCAATTTAAAATTTAAAAAGAATAATTTAAAAAAAAAAAACATTGTACCGTCAAATCAGATCTGACTGGTACAGGAGGATATTGCGCCTCCTTTTCCGGCAGAGCATCTGGTGGATTCGAACCGTGTTCCTCTGGGATTGCAGTGCAGCTTCTTACCACTAGGCCACCAGAGCTCCCCTTGTTTGCATTTTTAAGTCTCTAGATTTCCAGATCTGTGTTTCAGCTAGCTCTGTGGAACTATCTGGCATAAGTACCAAAGGAAGGGAGCTGATGAGTCATACCTCTCATTGAAGCTACGTTATTGTTATCAACTTAATGTTTCATCATCATTATCTTAAAAACTGTGATGTATCTTTTCATATAGAAAAAAACCAGGTTTTTACCACCTAAAATTGACAGTCTCTGGAAGCACAAAGTGACCATTCATTTGTCTGTGTATGTTAAAGCTTTAAATAATTCTGTCTCCCTCCCCCAGACGGTTCCCAAGCCCATTGCACTGGAGCCTTGTTTTGGCAACAAAGCTGCTGTACTCTCTGTGTTTGTGAGGCTCCCACGAGGCCTCGGTGGAATCCCTCCTCCTGGACAGTCAGGTGAGCGGTTCGCTGAGCCTCTATTTTCCCCAGCTTGAGGTCTTTTCCCAAGGCACAAAGAGGTAAGAGGACCTTGCCAATCCAGAGCACGGCCCTATGATCTTCCCGGATCATGGTGTAAATTTTAAAATAACAATGCTGTGACTGAGCAATATGGGGTGTATCTGACTCTTCTCACAAAAAAGAATGCACTTTCTTGGTACCCTTTTGGAGATAGGATGACAGGGGAGATTTGGAACTCTGGAGCCTGTCAACAATATTATTTAATCTTACCATCAGAAAGACCACTTCGTTTGTTGTAAAGAGTTGGGAGGGTAAGACTCTATTTAGAAAAGAAACCCTGAAAGAAGCAGAAGATCTACAAACTAATGGAATAGGTTAAAGAGGTTACTTATATGAAGGGAGAAGCAAAACTTTCACTGCTTTTACTTTTTTTTCACTATGGAGAAGTGAAAAGAATTTAAATTTTTTTCTAAAACAAGCTGTTCCTTGATAATAGATTTTGATAAGAGAAATGTTGTCCTCAGTTATTGAAACACACATGCAGCAAGCAGGTCCTTCTGTTTTCACACTGTTTATTTCCCTCAGGAGTACATTTATCTTCCTATCTCTGGTGTTCTGGTCATTTCTAGATTATTCAGCTAAATAACTATAATGAATCAGTATGATGTTGTGTGACATGTCGAGATGGTCCAGAGCTCTTAGACTACATAGTGATGAAGAGTAGAAGTTAGAAGACAAATTAGAGCTCTGTGGCAAAACAATACATGTATATTGTTGTGTCTTCCATATCAATATGAATGAACTGTTTCTGAAAACAGTAAATACTAGTAAAAATGAGGGCAGGGCAAAAAGTAAACTGCTCTTTCACATGTGTTCCTCTGTGGGTCCTCAGGTCTTGCAGTGGCCAGTGCCCTGGTGGACATTTCTCAGCAGATGCCCATAGTGTACAAAGAAAAGTCAGGAGCAGTGAGAAACCGGAAGCAGCAGCCTCCTGCACAGCCAGGAACCTGCATTTGATGCTGGGACCAGAGACTCTCCCATGAGCAAGCAAGAGCAAGTGTGTGTGTGTGTTACCAGAGCCGTCTGCAGGGGAGGGAGCAGCGGTGTATATGGACAGAAGACTGGAGACGCAGCGTCCGACTCATCTGCATGATCACAAGCTTTCTTTGACGGTTTCTCCCATCCGTGTCCTTGCATCTAACCCTTTACTTTTGTATAGGAAATAATTGATGTAATTACAGATCCAGGGATGACCCAGCTGGAAGAGGCCAGTGTAGAGCCAGGGAGAGAGCTCAGAATGACACTCAGGTTCACTTGTGGAAAACTGTTCTTGGGACTGTCTCAACTGTGCATAAAAACAAAAGATGTAGTGTTTACAAGTAGACTTAGTCATCAGTTGTTCTTGAACATGGTCTTTTAACAACTAGTCAGGTGAACTAACTTGTTTTCATCTGAAGCCTGCTACCTTTTTTAAAAGATGTGCTATTTATTCATGCACGACTTAGCCAGACCTCTCTCTTCCAGGGAGTAGCTTTTTTCTAGTTGAGAATTAATAATGGAACATCTCCTTTGAATCATATCACACTAGGATAGAAAGGGGCTATTTTAATGTCAAGGTCAGCAGTGTTAGAGTGTAAACTGATGTAATAGGTAGTGTTGTAGAGCAGTTTGATTAATTTAGTCTTAATTCACTTGAAATTCTCTCACTTTTTCACACACACACGCACACACACTAAGTGCCTAGACTTTAAATAGATCTAGCAATTGAAAAGTTAGTGAGCCTAAGTTTTTACATAACTGCATTCCTACATTCTTAAATAGCTACCATTGGCAATCTGCTCTTTTTCTAAAATCTGACTTGCAGCCAGGAAAGAATTTTCTCATCCCAAGGAAAGGCTAATCAAGCAGCAGGAACTGAGAAGAAAGCAGAAATAGACTGTGAACACTTCTGTGCATAAAGTGTGGTCCCCGTGTGCCTCTCTGACCCTTCATCCTTCCCTTCACCCCTGAACCCTTGTATCTCTGCCCTCCTCCTGGCCACACCACCAAGGAACAAGGAATGGACGTGCTCTTGTTACGTGTCGCCGTTGAGCAGAAAAGAGCACTGCCAGTACCTGAGACCCAGGGTACGGAGCGACACTGCTGCTCTCCCCTGCTCTGAACTCATGGGTCATTCCCAGGCTAAGGTGGGATCAACGTCAGGAGAGGGGCAGTCTGCCATTGTTGGGAAGAACCTGCCCCGTGCCTGATTAGTCCACCAAGGTAGTGACCAAAGAGTGGCAGGTGAATGCTGACAGAGAAGAAGAGCACATGAGAAAATGAACCAGGAGGGGAAACTATGCCAAACGGGAAATATCAAATTTCAGCGAGATAAAGCCAGGCTTGCTTTTCTCCCACATGTCCAGCCTGGGCATCCTGCTTTCCCGGTCTGCTCTGTGTCCTGGCACTACACACCACCTCCCAAATCTCTCTTCTGCTTAAAAGACTGGCATTACCTTCTTAAGATGGTCTTCTGGACAGCCATTCCCTATACAAATTTAAGACTCTGGAGAAATGAATACCCAAAAGAGCAAAAACTGCCACATTTCACCTCTAAATGCAGTGACAGCCTCATCCTCCCAACACTAATCCTACTTACTCCCCACAAAGAATTTCCTGGGATGATCTCAAGGAGAGTTCTGAAAACCACAAAACACTATCTGATGCACAAAACACCTCCATTCTGAGATTCACCTCTCAGACAGCTTTTTCATGTCATTGTTAAAAAGCAGACGGTTCTAGAAAGACCCTCTTCTCTTACCAGCTCCCCTCAGCCCTGCCAGAGAGAGCATGGCACCTTTCTCTATAGAGCCAGCTGTGAACTGGCTCTTCCACCCCTGAACTCTGCGTCAGGCCTGTTGGTGAAAAAACAAGGATTGTCCTCCCTCAAGGAAATAACTTGTTTGTTCAAAGAACCAGCTTTCCTTCGCCAAAGAGGTCTCTTCCCCACATCAGCCCCATAATGTGAGATAACACTCACCGTGACCTACAGCCACCTTGTTATTTCTTTTCTATTTTAAAGATAATGTTTCTTTTCTGAAAAGAAGAAGCAAGTGAAGTTCAGTTCTTTCCCAGTAATGAAGGAGCAGCTGAATCCATCCATCTCCTTTACAGCCAACAGTGAGCAGCTTCCTCCAGGCTCAGAGCAGAGGAAGGAGATGGCCGGGAGAAAGGGGTGGTTGGCTTCGAGCCAGTTCCCACAAGGGAAAGATCATCATCTGAAACTTTGGAGAAACGGATGTGCATCACAAAAGAGCCTGTATATAAATTAAAATTGTCATGAGAACATTGATCTTGCACTTGTATATAAACTATACAGTAGTGTCCAGAATGTTCAGACATTCAGAGTGTACATAGGACAGGAAAAAAAAATCTTAATGTATTTTTATTAAATGTCACAATGTCTTGAGAGTTTCACCTGATAATGTATTGGTGCCATATACTGGACATCCAAGTTCTGGGAAGTCCTCCCATTAGGCCAAGCCAAGACATGGTCTCCCCATGCTGATGTGTTCACATGCATCTGGCTCCAATAAAATCACATAAAACAGGGATCAGAGCAGTGACGACGTGGCTCTGTTTGGACAACAGTCTGTGAGGCAATGTGAAGGCAGCTTTGTTCCTGCCATAGACTCTGCGGGCGCGTTATGGACCCTGCTGCCAGGCTCCGGGCCCTGGATTGACTGGATGATCCCTCTCACCCTGAGGAATGTTTCTCTTGGTCTTTAAGTTCAAAGACTAGAGGTATAGCCTGTGGAAATGAGTTTTTTTTAAAAAAACAAACCTTTTCCTGATTGCATTTTGTTGTGGTTTTGTGTAAACTTTGAATGACCATTTCCAAGGACCATGTATGGTTTGTACTGTGAATTATGTTTTTGGTTACTAAAATACAAGAGTGGAGTTGTGTAGCTAGTTTGCTAATGTATAGCTCCTATATCCTAACCAAGAATTTCACACCCATCTATCAGCCCAGACTCCTGGCCATCTCTCCGCCTCCCTGCACAGTCTAGGGAGGTCTGTAATTCCCTGCAGACGATCACAAATTGACAGGTAGTGTGGACAGGGAGGGCACCTATACCCTCCTGAGCTGATCAGCCCCGCACTGCAGAGGAAACAGCCCTAGGTGGAAGGTTGTCAGCAGAAGGAAAATTCCAGAAGGCCTGAGGTGCAGAAAGCACGAAGCTAACACTAAGGCAGTGACCAAGACGAAAAAGGAGCCCTTCAGTGTCGTAACAAAAAGTCCACCCTGTCTGTCCTGGAGATCCTTTCTCATGGTCATTTCAGAGACTTGGCCCCCAAAGGGCTGAACCAGAGGCTTCCGCCTGTGGGACATGCACTATTCTCATCTGAAGTGATTGTTTACTCAATGCCCCAGACTGAGCCCAGATCCTAGAAATGCACCGTGGGTGGTTTCTGGATGCCAGACCATGGAGAGCCAGGTCCCCAGGAGACGACCTCTGGTAAACCCCCACCTACAGGGACTGGACGTGCAAGGAGACAGCCAGCAACTTCTCTCACAGGCCATAATGGAATGGCTTTCAGTAACTCTGAACTTGTGCACAAACATTCTAAACACTAGTGAAACCTGTTTTGTTGAACTAATTCTGGCTCTGGAAATGTTTTTGTTTTGTAGTCAGTTCTGTTTTTGTTTGTTCATTTGGACTCAAGCTTAGTTTGTTAATATGTATAATTTAGCATCTCTTGCACTCATGTAAATATGGAGTAAGTATTGTAAACAATTTCATTGCTGGGGTGGTGGGTGTTATACATACATTTAGGACTGCAATTTTTGGTATTTTTTGTATTGTAAAATAACTAATTTAAGCAGGAACAAGAGAACTAAGGGAGGTCTGTGCATTTTAAACACAAATGTGAAGGACTTGTACATAAACAGAAGTAAATACTATAATACAAACTCCTTCTGAAATAAAAGTAGATCTGGTAAAAATGTGGGTTTCGTCTGTTTAGTTTCTGTTCTCTTTTTTTACATTTTACTCAGTACAGTTGTACAGGGGGAAAATGTTGAAGAAGTTTGGTGGTTTCAGACTGCCTCAAGCTTTGCCATCCATGGTGTGAGCCCATTAGAGACAGACTTTTCTCCAGGGGGAAATCCAGCCCTGGTGGTCGCTACCACTTGGATTGAGGAGTTCATGGCCGCCTCCCTCAGCTTGTGAGTGGATGTCCGGCAAATCCCCAGGGTCACCTATGTGCGTCTAGGAGAGGTTTATTGTTATGTGCCTTTGAGGTTGAACCACAGTGGGTTTTTACAGGCAGTAAATCTCACAGGAGGGGATTTTCCATCTGTCTCCCCCAGAGCAGCTGGTGGATTCATACTGCCTGCCTCTGGGTTGGCAGCACAGCACTTTACCACCAGGCCACCAACCCTGTTGCTGTTGAGTTAATTCCCACTCACGGTGTCCATTGGGCATCAGAGGACCGTGGACATCGGAGGACTGTGGGCATCAGAGGACCGTGCACCGTCTTTCCAGAAGAGATCACCTTGTGGTGCCTCAGCGTGGACTTGAATCCGGGTTTTCCAGTAGGAAATGTATTACCCTTCTGCACCACCCTGGACCCCAGGGCTGGGGAAGGAGGCCTCTGGAGAACAAGGACCTCCCTTCTCCTGTGTTTCTCCTGATTTTCCAAGCTGCTCGCGGCTCAGCTGTGCTGACGCACTTTGTCTTCACTGTTTGTCTACTGCTAACTGTATGAAGACCCCAAGTGAGTGGGTGGGTGACTTTAAGAAATAGTCATTTACTTCCTCCCTGTTCAGGAGGCTAGGGATCTATGGTGAGGGTGCCAGATCCAGGGAAGGTGCTTGTTCTTGGGGATCTCTGTCAAGTTTGGCATCAGTCTCCCCAACTGTGTTCCCACTTGTTTAATCATCTTTACGTCTCAGAAAGATTCATTCAAGGTACACATTCAAGGTATACGAATGCTGTCTTGTTCAGCATGACAGAGAAAGCCCATTTCGAAAT